AGCTACCCTTTGCTATGTCCCTTACTTGTTGGCCCCATCTGATACAGAACAACAGACTGAAATGTTTGTCTCTCATTATTTACTGAAAGTCAAACTCTATATCCCTTCCTCCACACACCAAATTACATCTGCCACCTTATCTCCTTCTGTCTCTTACCTCCTGATCATTTCCTCAGAATCAGACAATTCACCACTGTAAAAGGACATTCAGGCAGTGTGAAAAACTATCTGTCTAGGCCTATAAACAGTAGCAGTTACACCAGTGTAAATTTAGATCAATTAATTTATGCCATTACGAAAGCACACTGCTTTAAGAAGAATCACCATGAGGCTCATTTATCTTACAAAGGTGATTATGTCTCATACAAGATTCTTGTGAGCTGTGGGCAGACTCCTAAGACTGCAGGTATCAGTCTGGCCCCAGGTGATAATCCAGCACAGGAAATTTGCAGGGGGGACAGAAGGTTGGCCCCAATGTCGTATGTCAATGCAACGTATCAAAATAGGCAGATTGAATGTTATTTACAAACATGTGTTATAGGTTACAGAAAGGGAATAGATCAATCTGTTTGGAAACTGTCACTCAGGTGTAAATCTTGGTGTGTTGACCAGAGTTTTATGTGAGACAACTTAGCAGCATTTCCACTCACTCCCTTGGTTAAAATAAACACAAAACTACAGTCTGACTACAAATTCAAAATCAGAAGCATGTTAACCACTGCTATCAATTTTAGATGTACTGGTTTTCCTTGCCATTAAAGATAATCTTCCGTGTAATTAAAAAAACTTGTCTTTATAAAGGCTTACCAAGGTTCTTAAAGGCTGTGACCAAACCACGTCTATTTGTAGGAATGTTTATGTTAGTATTGGATACCTCACTTGAAAATATTTTAAATGAAGGATGCACAGTATACCATTTTGGTATAATTTTAAGATGAAATAATGACAAGACACATTTAATATATTATTGCATACAAAAGCATCCATCTTTTAAAGCATGGGATTCATAACTCCAGAACCACCACTTAAAGCTACTGTCAATGCTTTTTAAAACACAGAAGTTTCTTTCTTTCCAGCACATTTGCTGTCACACCAGCATCAATTTCCTGATAAGCCTGCAGAAGCATCTGTCTTTGCAGAACTTCAGCTTACAAACCTGTAATTAATTTGTTCAGAGACTGCATTTTTAGAAGTAACAGCTCTTTACACTAGAGAAGGAAGAGGACTGAATTTCTAAGAACAACTGTCATCTTAGTTTTCTTTATTATATTCATGCTTCAGAAAAATCCATTATTTCTCTTCTACATAATCTCATCAACTTTTACTGAGAGTTGTACTCTGCATACTGCAAGCTATATTGTTTGTTTATGGCTTTCACAGTAAAGCAACAGATGAGGAGCTCAGCATGTCTGTAATTCTAAAGTTTTTAAATTCTGAAATTTCTCAGTGATGTCCTGCCTACACACAGGAAAAGAATCCAGAAGATTGTTACCACATCAGTATCTTAAATATTCCCAAGTCATGAAGAGCTGCCATATGCAGGGATGAATCATGCGAAAGCTTTGTAGCGTCCCCTGATTTCTGAAGACCTCTGCAGAAACCAAACTGCTATCCAGCTGCATGTCACAAAAAGCACAGACCTTTCCTCCCAAGCAGTAGGTCCTTCCCTGAGCCATTGTAACTCAGATCTTTTGGGGAGACTGGAAATTTGAGTTCAGACTCCTGTGCCCATCACTGACTTTGACGGGTGACGCATATCAGAGATATTAAGCTTTAGCTCTAAGTGGGAAAGTGGAAAGAGGTCTGGGAAAGAAACACAAGCAAATTTAGGCTCCTTTACTTGCCTAGTGTATTGTTGGTGTCTAGGAAACATTCCACTTCAATTTAAAGCTTTCCCTCCTTTGACCATTGTATTACTGCAAGTTACTTTGAGTTGTAAAGTATGTATTCTAAGGTGAGCTTTTACAGACAAATTAGGCAGCAGCTTGTGACAAAGCAGTTATCATCAGGAGATAATTGACCTTATTTGAGAGTTAAGGATCCTGAGGCAAAGTAGAGTGTGCTTAATCCTGGCAGGTTAATTATCCAGTGATTATGGTAGCTTGGAAGGTATTATTGCTGAGAACCATTTGCAAAATGACACTATTAAAAAAACCTTTAATTTAATAAAAATTAAAAGCAATGACAGTAATCAAGTTCTCCAGTCATGTATTGCTAGATAATGATTGCAGAATGCTCCTAATTGGGTAGCAGCAATGAACATACTATTATTCCTATTCTGAATGTTCTGTACTAAATTTGTTATATGTAGTACAGTTAGTAAGTATCAAAAATCCAAGACAAGATCTTATAGGTAGTTATAAAAGGGATTTAAACAAATGATCCAGTGGTCACTGAGCTAATGCTGAAACCGATACATGTAGTGAGTTGTTACCACACCTTTCAGTGTTTCCACTGCAGTTAAGGGTATGCTGGCATTTACATTCTCAACTAGAACATTTATTCTGAGAGGTTTATAACTTGCCCATTTTAATTACCATCTGGCTGAAATGTGAAATAACCAATCTCCATTCAGATGTAAATTTTTAAGTAGAAGATGTAATTTAAAATCACTTTGCCAATGGTTTTTAGTTTAGGAATAGCAACAATTTGGAATTTTGCTGCTCTTGGATGTTTTCGTATTAAAAACAAAAAATAAACAGCTCAGTGCTTTGCAATAAAATTGTATTGGTTTATAATGTGGAGTGAAGATAAATATAGGGAAGAACAAAAATCATGTCTAATGGTACTGTTTGTACTAATAAAGTAACAACCACACCACATAGTATGCCTTCCTTCTATGTTAGCTTACACACTTTCAGTATTTAACTAACCAGCAAAACTGAATGGAAATGTAGCAAAATGCAAAAGGGAATCACAATAAATGGGCAAAAACTTGCTGTTGGCTAGCTGAAGTGGTTCACTGCTCATCAAGGCATAAAGACAAAAAAAATCCTGAATGTACTTGTAGATGCATTGAATATAAGAGAGGAAAAAAAAAAAAAGAAAAAAGGAAGGAAGCTACTAAAAGGCAGAACATGTCAGAATGATCTTCTCTTGAGTTTTGCAACTACTTTTCACCACAAACCATATGCAGAGAGCAGAAATAATGACAATCACATGATACAGCAGCTACTAAAGACTACAAGTCCATCATGCCAAGAGTGTGGTTTCAAGTCACACAGAAATACAAGAGAATAAACCACTGCAAATAGCATTTCAACAACTCAAAAGCAGCAATGGCCAGCTTAAATAGCAGAAAGCAGAGACTAAAAAGTGACCAGGGTTTCAACTGATTAGCATAAGTAAAAAAGCATAAAAGGCTGGTACTCTGAAGTGTGTATATAGATATATGTATACTGTACTGCCAAGTTTAAGGATGATCTCTTAAGTTTAAATAGTATCTTTTACCCTGAAAGATACTAAAATGCTTCAGAAATTATACACACAGTGCTGGGAGTCTTTCAACTTCAATACACACAATGGTCCTATACAATATTTTACAACTGCAGGTGAGTAATACCATAGCAAATTGACATGACAGGAAATTAAGGTAGTCTGAATATTATTTGTAAAACTGGAATGTTGCCAGTATAGTGCATGATTGTGTATAAAGTGTACAAATATAAAAAAAGTAACAAAATATGTTTTACCTTCTGAAAAAGAACACTTAATGAATCACTGAGATCTGAATTCTCCTAACAGATCACAATGAGTCAGGATTTATATAAAAGCCCAGCAAGGTTTAATCCCAGAAGTTTCTATGAAGCCCTTTCACCCATACATTGATTAGAATTGGTATTACTTAATTTGTAAAGTCTGACAAGATTTTTCTGTTGAGATTATACTGCTGTTAAATCAAAATATTCAGTAGGACCTTTGCATGGACTGTATTGTGAAAGACAGAACAAAGGTAACAGTTGCCAATTTCAGCAAAATGTCTGGAAAATAATTCTGTATCATTAACTATAGTTAGAAAGGTTTTCCTTATCCTACTCCATCTAAAACCATTGCAATTTTCAATTTTCTTAATTCTATTTTTTTTTTTTTCCAATTCCTACTTCTGTAACTATGCTAACCCCTAACGTGGACGTGTGGACAATAGGGTAAAAACTGACTTGTGTTGGTGAAACTCCCTGTGTCACAATCACAAACAACCACTGACAGGAATAAGTCACTTTTCCATAATTTTCCTCTACTAATGTAGTTATCTTGAGAGATAAGCCCACATTTCATTTAGATGTGTCACACAGGGTTTTTTAAATCTTTTTCTGCTGAACAAACTAATAAATATTTTAGAGCACTTTCTGAAGTGGAAAAAAATCAAAAAGTGATAGCACTACAATAAGTGAAATCTGAATTAATTTGTCTATTACCATGGACTTCCAGGCAGAATTTCATGCAATCTGTCTGCCAACTGTTGCACAGCAAAGATAAGCCTTTCTTAGATGGACTGCCAGTCCATATACCATAAATCAGTGAGGAACAGTTCTAAATTAATTAACCATTTCTAAGTTTTCTGCTCCTACTTCTTCCCTAACAGTCTTCTTCCCCACAGAAAATGCTATTATTAGCAGCAGTATGGGAATGGAAACAAGTTACAGAACCTCAGCAGTAGCCCTTCATATGTTTTCTTCCAGGAGAAAGTTAGATGTGCTGGGTACATCATACATGTGGACAGTTATCATAAAGCAGCCAGAGTGTTGGGTACTTCATCTTTTAACCTAGAGTAACTTGTTCACATGTCTCTACACTAGAATGAGAAAGTTGTAAACCTCTAATAGGTCAAATGACATCTTGGGTATCTACTGAAATATCACAGTCCCATGACCATGGATTTTGTTTTCTAATGACATGTCAAATGATCAGTGTCTCTCTCTCTCTAAATACCAGGGGTCTAGGAAGCAGGTGCAGCTATACACAAGAGATAAAAATACTTCAATTACTTCTGTAAAACTCACCGTCTCATTTCCAAAAAGGACATCAACATAAGGCATGACTTTCATCATAGGCTCTTTGTAGAACTGGCTAATAAATGGTGCAGAAAGATTCAAGCTGAAGATCTTGTTGTTTGCAGAAGCCTGAGCAGCCACTTTTAACACTGCTTCCGGTGACACCGTCAGGAAGAATCCCTGCAAGCATCCAAACAAATCAAGGTACATTACTAATTTCATATTAGGAACCACATGAAGTACACTGCCCCTAGAAGCTCTCCCCCAACCAACCTTTGGCATAGAGATACACAGATAAAAACTTCCAGAAAATACTGTTTTTCCATTAATGTATTATGGAGGTGATAATCTGCATATGCCTAGAATCACAGCCCCTCAAAATTAAACATAACTCCCTACTCCTGCACTTCATGTAGTACACTTTCCCATGGCACCTAAGACTAAAGTCTGTATTTTAAAAGGTGAAATAATTCTAAACACCCCTTTTTAATAATAGAGTCAATCAGACTGTCCTGTTGAATTCCAAAGTCCAGTATGCTGGCTCTATACACAGCTAGGAGATTAATGAAATCCCTTTCATGAAAAATTATTACATTTTGTACTGAGTTTGTGTGGCAGGGTTTTGGTAGAGAGGGGGCAGCAGGGATGGCTTCTGTGAGAAGCTGCTAGAGGGTTCCCCTGTGTCTGATAGCACCAACGCCAGCCAGCTCCAAGATGGACCCACTGCTGGCCAAGGCCATCAGGAATGGTGGTAGTGCCTCTGTAATAACACATTTAAGAAGTGGAAAAAGTTACTGCACAATGGCAACTGCATCTGGAGAGAGGAGTGGGAACATGTGAGATAACTCTGCAGGCACCAAGGTCAGTAAAAAAGAAAGGAGAAGAAACTTCTTCTCCTTCTTTCTCCCCTTAAACAAACTTCTGGGCATTCCAGACACCAGACCAGAGATTCCCCTGAAGCCTACAGTAAGACCCTAGTGAAGGAGGCTGCTGCCCTGCAGCCCATGGAGGTTAACAGTGGAGCAGGTATCCACCTGCAGCTGGTGGGAGACCCCACACTGGAGCAGGTGGATGCCCAAAGGAAGCAGTGATCCTGTTGGAAGCCTGTGCAGGGGCAGGCTCCTGGCAGGGCCTGAGGACCCACGGAGAGAGGAGCTCACTCTGGGTCAGGTTTGCTGGAAGGACTTGTGAAGGACTTAGTTCTTTACACTAATGAATCAAACTTTGTATGTTTCATTTTTATAATCCTAAAAGCAATCTTACTAGCCATTCTCAAAACTCAGTGAATGCTCAGTGAATAATAGCAAGAGTAGCAAGTGTTAAATTTAAGGCCAGAGATGTCTAAGGCACAGTAGCAAACAAGTTTGAGGGGAGGGGGTCTGATAAATAAAACATTATCTCAGTCCCATCTGTAACGTCATCACCATGACACTTTAAAAGCTATAACAGTGGGACATCTTATTTTCCAGTTTTTATCCATATTATTATGTCTTTCGATCACAAAATATCTGTATTTTTATCCCGCATACTTCAGCTAACAGATCATCTGACGCATTCTACTCACTGGAAAAAACAATATAATGAAGAGTCTACAGATTAAAGACTACTTAGAAAGTCTTTCTATTTATTTCTCTTTACTCTGTACTCTCCAGCCTAACAAATCCATGACTGATTTAGAAATCTGGGCATGATATGCTACATGACAATAAAAGTCCAAAGGTTACAAGATTGTTTTGTATCTTGTGGAATTACTCAGTACCTTGAATGACTGGAAGCCTGTAAACATCCAAGCTTCTTTGCTATTTTTACATTCTGAAGAATTAAAATGAACAGTTTATATAACATCTCATCTCCATAACAGTCACTACCATCTTTCAGTTTTTCATTTCATGAACAGAGTTCATTTTTAAAAATGTTCCAAACACAAAATAAAAACCTTTCAAGGTTAGCATGTTGCCAGCTGTGGATAAATCACAGATTGCTATACAGTAAATAGTAACCTGGTCAAATAATTAGGCTTCTTACCAATTTTAGACAGAAAACTTCATCCGAAGTAAAATACATCTGATTGTAATTTAAGGTACAGAACACTATCCCCATGGGATCTAGCTCAGGCCTGCATCCAACTCCCTTTTCCTTGGAAAGGCAACATAAAAGTACTGAGATGCAGATAGGAGAACTTGCTTTTTAGATCCTGAAAAGTAAAGGCCAAGAATTCTCAAAGGCTACAGCTCTGTCTTCTGGGTTTCCTAAAAACCACTTCTGACATTTAATTCTTCCAAGATTTAAAAAAATATTTTTATTTAAATAACTATTTGACATTAAAACATGTAGAAACGAAGAGTTATGTGAATGAGGACTTTTGCTAAAACTTTGCCAAGCATAACAATTCTTTGCAAAAATAGTTGTAGCAATATAAAAAATAAGTTGTAGCAATGTAATTCACACAATGTAGGAAGAAAATGTACAAAATCTGAAACGAACATATCTGGGTTTAAAGAAATCTAATTAAACCCATCTCCTTCAGTATATAAATTGAGTTTGTCTCTACTTTCAGTGGAATTTCAGTCACAGCTATGGCCAGTATAGTTACAAGAACCCAGCTTAAATTTAAATTACAACTAGATAAGCCACAGACCATGTTATTGCAGCATGCCACAATTTTGCAGAGGAATGAACTCCCCTAAAACAAACAGGTTTTCTTATGTCTCGCTAGGATTTGCAACAAAGTCACTCTATGGCTCCTTCAGAACCAGAGCCTGCATGCTCTTGCAGCTGCCAGAGCTTTTGGTCCAGACAGACACATGCAAAAGAATGGCTAAGTCAGCTACAGCCATCTACTCCAACGGCTGCTCACCAACTTCAGCTCTGCCTGTGAGAATAAGCACAGCTCGGTGTCACTGGTATACAGACTTTGTGTTTCACTAGGAAGACATTCTATTCCCACTCACAAAAAGGTTAAAAGGCCCCTCAGAAGATATTCTATACCCATTTACACACCTCAATCTACATCTGAGAGAGTTTTGGGAACTTTTTCACCCTCCAAGCTCAAAGACATTTTAAAATAACTATGAGAAAAATAGATGTGATAAAGGATGAGAGAGTTTATATACAGAAATTCCAATGGCCTGGGAAACTGAAGTTGCATATGAAATGAAATTACTATGTATGTATCTATTTTTGAGAAAGAATGCTGTGCATAAAAGGACATATGGTAATTTGATAGTGCAGTCAAAGAAAGTGAAAGGCAGCAATACTGTACTAAGAAAACCTATTAAACATCAAAGGCTATCAGACTACTAGCATCATGCAGTATTCCTTTGGCCTGGACTGATTGAGACTGAGCATACCAGATGCTACTGCTTCATGATGTGCCACGATTTTCTGCTGCTCAAAACATGATGAGTCTTTCTTCTATATCAAGAAGAAGGTACCATTGTACCACAAGCCAGAGAGCAAGGCTGACACTAATCATACACATACAATAATACATACACCACAAAAATAGGATGATAGACTGAATTCTTTACATGCATGTTTGGATGTACACGTGTGCAAAACACAAGGACATTTTTCTGTAAAGCAGTCCTGTTTAAATACAGTCCCCTTTAGTGGAGAAAAACATTTTCCTTGGGGGAGAAAGAGGAAGGAAAGAGAAGAAACAAGAAAACCAGATTTGTGTATTGCAGACTCATGGCTATGGGGCACACAGTAACTTGTTTCTAACTTAAGAGCTTTCAAAAATCATTATTAAGATGCACATGACAGCAGCAGACAAAGTCAAGAGAGAATATCATATTAATCTCACTTTTACAATATTTAGGAATTCTTTGATACACTTTGTAAATAATGTGAGGGTCCTTTGAATATGGGATAGTCTCTTACACTCAAGTCTTTTTTATAGACATTAGCATTACCAGAAGGATTTGGTGGGTTTAGACACAAACTGTCTTTGCAAGTCATCACACTCATTTTTATCATGTGCAGACCCAAAATGTTTCTTCTGACCTACATTAAGCTCATATTGTGCTAGCTATAGCAGATGTCAAGGCAGCAAATTAAGGGTGTCAAAAGTATCAGCAGCACGGAATCAGTGTTGAAGGACCTCATGAAGCCACAACAACTCTAGTTTTGGTGAAAGTAATTCTCTATAAGGTGTTCTGTCCAAACTGAGAAGTCTTGCCATCGTTTGTTCACAGGAAATAATGTGCTTGCACTGAGTTAGCCTGGATTACATACAGGTAATGTTTGCACAATGAGAATTTTTTTTTTATTAATTTTTTTTTTTTTTTAAGCCAGTAAGTATTTCCTTGGAGCCAAAACTGAAATATGTGACCCAGTATACATTTAGACAAATCCAGGCCAAGATGATAACAAACAGCTTTCCAACTTTGGAATTACTGTTGTTTAACAGCATAGAAACAATGTCTGCACAAGAGTATAGAGAGATACCAAAAAAACCCAGGATTGTTTTCAAACCTACTACCAACTAAAATGAATTTCTCCCTTCTCTCAAGCTCTTCCTTGCCACTCCCATTTTCAGAGACAGTTACATGAAAATAACTTTATCATATGAGTGACAGGACTTTTAACCATGATATTCAGGGCTGATTTTGAAATGCCATTTGGTAACAATGCAAAATCAATAAATTACAAGCATGAATAAAAATATTTAACTTCCAGAAACACACATACAACAGTCTGCTGCCATTTAACATGAATTATGTTCTGTGAATATGAAAGGAACACATAATTTAATCCAAAATTATTTTATAGCAAGCATATACATAAAAATGCAATTATGATGACATCACACTCTCATTCATCGAAAAGGGTGAAATTTTTCAGGCACATAGAAAGTTTTACAGTTACATAGTGACAGTCCTGATAAATACCATGGTTCAGTAATGCCCTACAGAAATCCTCTAACTTCAAGTATTCCAGCAGTTCCAGTAAAAAAGTGATGTTGCTAAGGTGCCAAAAGAACTTGCTCTGTTAAATGACAGACACAACCAAGTCAGAGTGTTTGGACCTGGTTAAGTTTCAGATATTCTGTACACAAAGAGATTTTTGAGAACACACACTTGGGCAGTGAAGACTTCCCTCAGCTCTCCTTTGTCATCAGTCTCATATGCTGCAGTCTAGCAGAAGTACCAGGGCTTGGAATGAGTGAAGCTGCA